GGATCAGCAGGGATGCTCCAGCTGCCTGCAATCCCCAGCATCCTCCAAACTGCCTGATGTGTGGTGTGTGCAGGCATCCCTGCCTGGAGTTTTGCAATGTAAGAGCCCTGCCCCAACAGTCAGGCCTGAGCACATTGCATTTCTCTCTGGATTGTGGTGCTGTTCTGACTGTTGCTGCTGGCCCAGTTGTGGGAATGGGGTGAAATGTGCCATGCTGTGCCTCCAGAGTGACCTTAGCACAGGATAGACAGTCTGCTCCAGCCCAAATCAAGTTTTCAAGTGCTGCTGTAGTTCTGCATTAGGGATTCTGTAGTTGCAGCTCCACCTATGCTCAAAGCACCATCATAATCCAACTAGCAGCAGCGGTCTGATAAGCATTGGCTGAGACGTTAATGAGCTGGGTGTAGACATTTGTTAATGAAGCACTGCACCAACCCTGAGTGATTGATCCATTCTCCACCCACTGCTGGAATGCAGCACCGAACGTGCTGGATGCAGCCTGTTACTGGGCTCTGAGCTATACTTAAGAAAGGAAATATTTGATAGACTGCTTTCTGTTTTACACTGAGCATCTTTAACAAGAGACTGGACTCAGCACTGGTTTTATAGGAATGTGTGAACTGTTGTCAGTTGATGAAGCAGTGATGGATGAGTCCAATGCACTGAATAAAAAACTAACTTGTCAAATGTCACCTGCAGTTATTTCCCTTCCTTCAACGGGCTTTTGGCACAAGTTCAGCCTCTTGGCATGGCACTGAGGGCACAGCACATGCAGCCACATGGGCTGGCACTTGGGGTGAAGCTGTGGTCCCTGTCAGTGCCCAGCTGCAGGCAGTGGGGCACTGAGCTGGCTGTGCAGGCAGTTTGCTGCTTGCAAAGCAGTGTGAGGTTTTCAATAGGTATTTTGTAAAACCTTTGCTATTATCTCTTTTGCCTTGAGTGTTATTGGCAAAATTATCAGCGCAGTCCTGGCTCCAAGTGTGTTCAAAATGAAACAAATGCACCCTGGCTCCCAGCTTAATGAACTCTGGAGAAGACATCACCCCTTCATGCAAATAATCTGTATGTCTTGGAAGATCAACAGGAAACACCATCACAAATGGCAGTATCCCTGTTTAGAGTTGCCTCATGACTATAAATATGGGCAACATATGGCAGACTGGCTAGGAAAACTTCAACCAGGCTGCAAAGGGATGGAGCTGTTCAGTCCTGAAAGAACAGCAGAGTGTGAAGCAGCCTCTTGCTGTTCAGAGCACACCCTGATTCGGTTCTTCAAAGAGATGTTTTGCAGCAATCTGTACCTTATAATTTTCTAAGCACTCCTTAAATTAAAATTGAGTGCTTAAATTGAGCTTAGGTGACAAAAAGTGCACCTTTTTTTTTCCCGAGCCTGATTTCCCTGCAGGGCTGGGTGACTGCACACAGTAGGAAACAAAACAGACTTTGTACATATGGGCACTGAATTTATAAGTAGCCAAAAAGCGTAACCATAATGCTAAAAAACATACTGGGAGAGGGCACAGAGTCAGTTCATGCCAACAGGCATAAAATACCCCTTTTTGCTACAGTACTAAACCCACAGAATATTTCTCTCTAACAGAGTTATCCCTGTGCACAGGGTAAGCAGCTGCAGAGCCTGACTGCTCTTTGGGGAGGGTGTTCATAGTTTTGTAGTATGTTAAGTGGTCAGAATGGACTTTAGAGATCATCCAGTCCCAGCCCCCTGCCCTGGGCAGGGACATCTCCCACCACACCAGGTTGCTCAAGGCTTTATCCAGCCTGGCTTTGACACTGCCAGGGTGGGAGCATCCACAGCCTCCCTGGGCAACCTGTGCCAGTGTCTCACCACCCTCACAGGAAAAAGCTTCTTCCTAATGTCTAATCTAAATTTCCCCTCTTTCAATTTGTACCCATTACTCCTTGTCCTATAACTCCACTTCCTAACAAGGAGTCCCTCTCCAGCTTCCCTGTAGCTCCGAACGCTCCGCGCAGCTGTGCTGTCCCGAAACGCACCGTCCCGTGCCTGCTCCCGGCCCGACGGCAGCACCCCCCGGTCCCCGTCCCCT